TCCAGCTGCAGGAAGAAGAGGAAGTGGTGTGGGAGATCCAGACCGCCAGACCAGCACCAGTGGACATTATGGTCTACAGACCTGCTGATGTCATCACTCGTGTGTTTAGTCACAATGATGTGGAGGAACAGGGACCTCCAGCACCATCTGGCTACAGTAAGTTTGATTCATCTTATTAAAGATGTTCGACTGAGTCGTGCCAGAGGTTTAATCAGGAGACAGCAGCAGCTTTAGTGATCATTTCATCTTCTGTGATGTTGGTGCTTTCTAACCACGTGATCTCTGACACTCTTTCTTTTCTCTGGTCTTTAAGAAAGCTCTTCCAACTCCTCCAACGAGCAATCGACTGAAGACGACAACACGCTACTGCTCACCTTCCCAGGTAGAAAAGACAAATCCAGTTGTTTCCCAGATGTTTTCACTTCAGACATCTTCCTTGTGTACAGTAAGGTGGTGGTTCCCAAACCTTTTTTGCTAGGCCCCCTTTCTCTTACAAGAACCCGCCCACACACGTGCACACACACACGTACACGCACGTGCACACGCACGCGCGCACACACACGTGCGCACACACACGTGCACACACGCCCATATTTTGTTTCAAACTCCACTGCAGTTTATTCCACACCGCAAACTGTAAACAATGACAGAAATAAAAGGTCACAGGTTGCAATAAATAAACCACTACCTCTTTTTAAAAAAACAAACCATCTTTAATTATTTTATGTTGTTTTTGTTGTTTTTGAGGTTTTTACTGAGTAACAATATTCAACATTGTTGAAATGTCTGTGCAGAGTGTTTAAAACATGAGCGACTGTGGGATCCTGTTTGTCCGTGATTTGAACCGGGGGAACAAACTGTGTCGGTATCACAGACACAGTTTGTTCCCCGCGTGGCGAGCACTGGGCACGGAGCGAGGATCAGTTATTCCGCCTCCATTACAGATATTAGACGTGGAAGGAGTGATGTTTTAGTTTTGTGAAAAAGTAGAAAGCGAGTGTTGTTACATCACCATTCAGTTTGAGGGTTACACAGAAAATTATATGTTTATTGTTCTCACGTGGTAACAGGATTAATTTAACAAAGGACATTTGGCCTGATAATTATTTTTATCCTCCTGTAACTTTACTCTATAAAGAGCTGAAACCTCCAAAGTTTCAGGAGTAGTTAGTCGTTACAAGAAGTGTTTGTGAACTAAAAATCAAGAATGTGTGAGACTGTTTGTCCCTGATTTGGAGAGCCCAGCGCTGCTCCCGACGCAGGGGAAACAGATCCTGGTGGGGAGACGACAGCTGCTGTGCAGGTGAAGCCAAAAACATGATGTCCTTCATCAATATGTTCTAGTCTTTGGCTTGGAAGGAAGTTGGTAAATGGACTGGTTCATATATAGCGCTTTATACAAGTATGGGTGGGTGGGTGAACACTTTGGACAATACAGGGTGTGAACGCGGAATAATTCAGTCTGTGTGTGACTGGAAGCAGCTTCATTTTTCAATGATCCTGAGCAGAGATGCTTCTGCTGCCAATAAAGGAACCTGGAGAACTCCTCCTGAAGGCTGCTGAAACTTCAGAGTTCAGGGTGTGAAAAAGACCTGTGGTCACACCAAAGCTCGCTGGACTCACACCAGTGTTGGGCCAATATACTGCAACCACAGTTCCAGTGAAGTTGGGATGTTGTGTAACACAACCTCGACCATCCTTTAAAACGACTGAGCCGTTTGGGGATGCTCATGACAAACACCTGTTTCCCACTAACCTGTTCACCTGTGGAACACACAACGGGTGTTTTTGACTTTCCCAGTCTTTTGCTGCCCCTGTTCCTGTAACCGTTTCCCATTTTTCTAGCAAATTGTAAGGAAGTGAGGGAAAGAACAGGACTGTAGAGTTTGACTTTGATTATATATAAGTTATGAAAAAGACACCTAATAATATGAAGATTAGCAAATAAAAAATGAAACCTTAACCTTCAAAAATCTGTCCCATTCACAGGTGATCAGAGGGTTCGTCCTGCAGCAGAAGATGCTGCCTACCTGCTGCTGGAGGGGACGCAGACAAACACATACTCAGCCACTGAGCAGCGGTCAGTTGCTGCTGCAGACACAAGCTCACAGATGCACAGGGACATTGTCATGGACTCTGTGGCCTCAGAAACAGTCGGTGGTCGTCACACCGCCGTCCTGGTAGAGCTGCAGCAGGCGTCAGAGGTGCAGGCAGCCAACACGGAGAGGTACGATGAAGCATCTCGTGATCCTCAGAGCTTATTCTGCATTTGTAATCATAACAAGAACTGCTTCACATACAGCCCTTCATCACTGGGTTTAGATGTGTGCAGACTGGTCTGGGCTTGAACACGTGATCCTCGGGTTCAGTGAAGTCATTGTGACATCGGTGGTTTCATGAATCTGCCTCCTGTCTGTGTCTCTGCTTCCTTCTAGCAACAACTTTGATGTGGAGCCACATGTTAGTCTGGGAGACCTGTATAGCTGGAAGGTGTCTGCGTATGCTCCATGCAGTTCCACCTGTACAACAGGTAAGCACGAAGCTGTCACCTGATACTGTCAGAGCCAACCAGATATTTGTGTGATTGCCTGCTGCAGCAAATCAGCACAGATTCAAGCACAGTGTAAAAGTGTTTGTTTAACTGAAGGTGATCATAGTGACACTGCACTCCCTGAGGGACTGATTAAATGAGCTCCTGATGTAGGGCTAGACTTGGTGATGCGATGTTACAGCACTGCTCTGACAAACCGTATTATGTTGTAACTTTGTAACTACACATGTAATTTTGACTAACACTCCTTGTTTCCACACTGAAGAAGTGAATTTGTCAACAACAGCTGCAGTGGAAACGTTTCATTTGACGCTTCGTCCTCTTCCTGACTGAATCAGGCTGAAATGGTGTGAACAGGCCGGGGGGCCAAAAACCTGCATTTGCAGTGTTGCCACATAATCGTGTCAGTCACAGCTCAGCTCAGGATGTACAATGTGATGGTACAAATGGCTCTGAACACCATCTGTCCATGAATAACACACACCAATGAGTTAAACTGCAGGAATGTCTTAAACACATAAAGACCTGGATGGCCGCTAACTTTCTGCTTCTTCATTCAGATCAAACTGAGGTTATTGTACTCGGCGCTGAAAAGCTTAGAAATATGGTATCTAACAGATTCTTACTCTGGATGGCATTACCTTGGCCTCCAGTAACACTGTGAGGAACCTTGGAGTCATGTTTGACCAGGACATGAGGATGTTCATCTCTGAGCACTGTGTGGAGGGTGTAGCTCAGCAGGTGGAGCAGGGTCTTGCATGAATGTGTGTGAATGTTAGATAATTAGCACTTACACAGAAGAACCACAGAAAAATCATAAATGAATGGGCACGAGGCAAGTTGTAAAAGTTCTGAGCTGTACCGTGTTCCCAGGTATCACCAGCACATATGCCCTGTGCGTCCGGTATGATGGCACTGAAGTTGACGACCGTTACTGTGACTCTCTGACCCGACCGGAGCCCACACAGGAGTTCTGCATTGGAAAGCAATGTCCTCCACGGTACTGTTTCACCTCAGACTCACTGCACAATCCACACCACGCTTAACAGTTTCATGCTGGAGAAACCAATCATGTTCACCTCTGAGGTGGAGCAGGGTTAGGAGCAGCAGATAGTAGCACACGTTTCCCAGGTGGACAGTACTGACGCTGGCTGACTCTGAGCAGGGATGGATCTCCATGTCATGGCTGAACTAACACTAGGCCTGATTTCAGATGATGCTGACATACTCTGAAGTCAGATGCTACTTTTAGGACCTGGAGACTTGGAGTACATGCTGGGACGAACCAAACGTGCCATTTTTGTCAAATAAATCACTAAATAAACTGTTAAAAACTGACCTTTGCATCTGTAACTGTATCTATAAATTTACAGATTCAGATTTCCTACAAACATCTGGCCTAATTGTGTTGCTGCATTAGCTGCTAAATATCTATGGATTCCTTTTTGTTCTAAATAACCTGGAGCTGATTTATCAGACCTCATGTTTTACTGCCTATTTATAATATTATTATCAATATTTTATTATCAATATTTTAGTTATAAATGTTATCATATGCATAGACAGTGGAACCCTATGGGCTCAAAATGTGGTCATAAATATTTTGTACTTGTAAATCGGTTTTGTATGTGTAAAAAAAATTTGTGTATGTGTAAAAAAGATTTGTGCGTGCGTAAAAAAGATTTGTGTGTGGACTTAGCCAAAAAAA